ATGAACTTGAGTCATTTGATAGAACAAAGATCTTATTCAACCTTAAGGGGGTTGCTTCAAGTTAATCTTCCATATATTAGGAAAAAAATTAGTATAATAAACTAATAAATATATAGGATATAGTGTGCTTCCAGATTGAAGGTGTTCAAGCTAGCAAATTCTAGGAACCTGCCTTTTACTTGTCCAGTTGTCCTCCAAATACGCATAGCAATCAGCTTGATATGGAGCAGCAAAATTTGGTTTCATGAGATGCTCTGGTGAATATGACTAGCAAGCTGCACCAAGCAAATTAAAATGTATTGCTTTGTATTCCACTTTTAGTTCACATTTCAAATTTTAGAATCAGTAGTATATTTAAATTATAATCCCCAACTATTCCGTCTGTGAATCTGCTCCTTGTTAACATGAGAGACTTAATCTCTCCTTGTTAACATGAGTGACCTTAGTCTCTCCTTGTTAACATGTGTGACCTTATCTCTCCTTGTTAATGTAACACCCCAAACCTTGAAGGCGAGACTGGCACCTGGTGCCATACCTGACCGAGTGAACCAACCTGTAACTCTCTTAATCGACAAATAGGGAAATAATAGGAGGATAGAGTTTATCATCTGAACCATAAATTCTTCAGCACACACACACATATATCCTCAACTAGACAACTGATATCAACTGACAAACAAGTGTCACTAGTCTACAAAATTGTCTAACAGGCTAACAATCGCTACTATGGTCAGGACAAGTCCCTAACCTACCCATAAACCTTAATATACATACAAAATCAAAATACTGGACTCGGCAACCCCAGGAAGAAATGGAGGTCACCAATCCACAAATGATAGTCTGAATCTGCCAACGGGGTCTGTCAACCTATGAACCTGGAGCTGTGGCATGAATCACAGTCCCTGGTAATGGGATGTCAGTACGAAATAATGTACCGAGTATGTAAGGTAGATACCATATCAAGTGAGAATAGAATTTCTACTAGGAAGCACAAAACGTAATGACAGTAATAAAGATAGAACCCGAAGATAATCTGTAAGCTGTGTATCATGAAACAACATTTAGTTCTCTAGGAGTAGCCCATCACATTCGGCGTAACATTTATAGGTACAATGTATACATGTCTCTTTTCTGCAAATCAGCCTCTATGGCCAGTGAACGAGCCTCTGTGGGCCAGCAAATAAGTCTTTGATGAACTAACAAGTAAGTCTTAACTGACCTGCAAATAAGCCTCGGTGGCTGGAAATAAGTCTCGCTGGATCAACAAATAAGCCTCGGTGACCAACAAATGAGCCTCTACGGCCAACAAATAAGCCTCTATGGGCTATTGAATGAGAATACTCCCATATATGCCTCTTCTCTAGGTTGAAATCCTATAATTCGTAACAATTCAGAACCTTTACGATGTGAGGATTGTGAATCTATCTAGAAATATGAAGGAATTAGAGAGGGGATAAGCTTACCTTAGTTTCTTGATGCTAGAAGGAGGAAATCTAGAGAGAGAACGAGCTCCTAACTGTTGGAATGACATAAAATGGGGTTGTAACGCCAAGTCTTGTTTATATAACAAAGACCCCACCTGTATAGTCCTCGGCCTCACAGGGCTACCTCCATAGTGAGCAGGGGCCTCGTCCTGAACCTTGATCCACGAAGTTTTTTTCTGCCCCGGCAGTTCGTATTAGTAAACTCACAACTTTTTACTCCGACACTGGATTGATGAATGGTTTAATTCGTGTGAAACTAGACTCAAAAACCTTAATTGGATAGGTAGTAGGTCGTCTAACTTCTTTTAGATTGGGAGATATGATCGTTCAAAGTAAAGACCATGTACGAGATCATTTGAAATACTCTGCCACCACGAAACCGTTA